AAAACTAGGGTAAACCCTGGATCCATTGTTTGTTTCCAGAGAAACTTAGATGCTTTTGTCTGGCATTGTCTCCCAAAAGCTACCCATAACTAAAGTTGCCCCTCAACATCATCTAAACACAGTATTATGCACCATTAGTACTATGGAAAATCATGATGTGATCATGAACCGTTAGAAACATCACAAACCATCTATCTATATGCAAACCATCATACATCATCAAACTAAATTGCAACCTGCATCATAGCTACATAACAAATAACTAGACGGTAACCTACCCATTTACTATATCCATCATAGTTATTATGCATTATTGTGTCCCATCAGTATCATGGTAAGTTATGATAATTATGAACAAATAATAGAACGACAGTGATGAGGAATGGTCCCTTCATATCTGCAATTATCCATGATAATATTCATTCCCCTTAATAGAACTAATCTAGCCATTTACCCTCTGGTAAACAAACATAGCTATGGAAAATCACAATTTTTGATGGGTAAATCAACTATAAATGGACATTTTCAATAGCAAACTGTTAGTTTACCAGAGAGTACTATGTCCCCTTAGAAACGCAACAGCCACTTCTCCCCCGACCCCATCTTCCGGCGTCCAGTTCCGCCTTGCAAGTCTTGGGCCAGCATCTGAAGCGCGAAGCGGAGCCGACCAGAGATTGTTTGGGCCCCAAGGGCCCCGTGAAATAACGATTTTAACAACGAAAAGTTGGGGTTACATGACTTAACCAGATAAATTGGACATTCCAAATCTACGAGAGATAAGTTGGTAAACAGTTCACTACTAGTACGTAGAGGCTACAGTTCATGGTAGACATATCGGACTAATAGCTAATTCATGTAGCGAACATAGACACACATATATACATGTTTGTCGTACTGGAGCAATTAACAAAACATCAATTCATGGTAATTTAAGAGGATAGAACGGGATATAAATATAAATATATATGTATATATAAATAGAAACAACTTAGTGACTTAAAGCCGGTTGGTGGCTGAGCCACTCCAAAAATATGCGCTAAGCTGCGATCATCCCAAGCAGGAGGAAAGGAGACATTCACCAAAACCAACATGCACAAGTTGATAAACCACATATTCAAGCAATGGGAACCACAACTGGTTGGTGGTATACCTACCCCTCTGAAAAATATGAGTTCGTCAATGGGAAGGATGACATCCCATATATGACATGGAAAAAAACATGTTCCAAACCACCAACCAGACAAATAATTTTGGGATAGACCCTGCCGGAAACGATCATGGAAGTAGAAACCAATTTCCCAGATGAAAGTCATGTTCAAACAGTCATTTTTTACTTCTTCAGCTGGTCCAAGCAGAGTGGGACAAATACAAAGGCTACGCAAAAAATATGTCTTCATCTTTTTCAAAAACAACTTGATTAGATAGGGTGACAGGCCATTCCAAACTCACTGACCCATGCAATCCGGACATGAAATCCCTCCAGTTGGTGTCAATAGCTTGGATGCCAACAAAAACATAAAAGTTTTAGATGTGGATATTCCAACATACCGGGTTTGAGTCTTACCATCTATCGTCTACCTATTGGTTAGTGCTTCGGGTTACACCTCTATTACCCTCAAGTAATCAAACGTAATTAGCAATAGGAAATCCGCTATAGATGAAAGTGTTAATGGAAACATCAACTCGAATGGTGGACGTTTCGTTGCCATGTTTCATTACCTGCGGGTAAAATCAACTTTAGCACGGTCTCAAAACGTATACAAGCTCCCGTCAAAATCCTTTACATCTCAGTAGTTGCTCTTGTTATGGTTATCGCTTTTGGGGGGGGGCCTATCGCTTTCCAGGGTTTTGTGGAAATCAGCATCTTCGAGATCCAACATGAAGCCAAAAGCATTTCTAAACAGGCTCGGAAATGGATCGAGCGGTTGTTTTGTTGGTTTCAAGTGCTTCGGCAACACTTCATGTTCCTTTCGTGTTGCATTTATTTGGATGCATTTTCCTTCATGTTCCTTTCATTTGCATGCATCTTCCTTTCATTGTCCTTTCGTGTTTCTTTCATTAGTATTCATGTCCATTCATGTTCTTTTCATTTCCTTTCTAAAAATATGGAAATGGCTCCATGGCTTGGCCAGGGAACCGAGTGCAACAAATGGTTAATCGCTAAGTTATTATCGCTAAATAACCCGTCCCTCCAACACATCACATTGTTCGAAGGAAATTTGCCACAAAACGACACAGAGATAGAGAGAGGGAGAGAAAGAAAGAAAGAAAGAAATAAAGAAAGAAAGAAAGAAAGAACGAAAGAAAGAAAGAAAGAGAGCGAGCGAGCGAGTTGGATGCCAAATGCTATGGTAACTGCAGGAAACAGGGCACCACAGGTTGAATTTCCCTCATCGGTTTTGCCCGGCCCGTTCTGAATGTGCACAACAGCATTTGCTTGGTTTACGTCAAGTTTAATGGACTGTCGTGTATGGTCCCAGGTTATCGCTTTTGGGGGGGCCTATCGCTTTACAGTGTTTCGTTCACATCTCTGACAAAAAACTCCTGCAATACTAAAGTAGTCTTTAACCATTTTGACCGTGGCTCATATGTACATGATCGGTCTGAGATCGAGACTTGTTCATCCAGAAAAGAGACGACTGTAGCAAACCGTAAACCCAATAAAACATAATCCCGTATGTTATTATCCCCGATATAATGAGAAATGGATTGTAAAAATTACCCCCGACATATCCCCACATAGTAGCTGTTCATTATTGGATGAATCCCAGAATAAATGCGTCTGAAATTCCTCATGATCTTCCTAATAATATACCATTAAACCACCATATAATCACCATGTTTTATCCTTAAATCACCAGTAAATTACCGATGAATCCCATATTCCCCATGCTATCCTCACCTTGGAACAGGATCGCGTCATGACGCCGAAAAACGGCCCAAACGGCCCTTTGCGCGCGAACAACGTGAGACGACTGGCGGGGCGGAGAAACAAACGTGTCCAATGAATGAACATACAGCGTACCCTCCTGTACTTTAACCTAGTTATCAAAAAGGGTCATTTATAGTTGATGTACCTGTTGCACATGCTGATTCTCCATATCTATGTTCGTTTACCAGAAGGTAAAATGTGAACATGTCACTTCCAGTAGAAAAAATTGGGTTGTCTCAACAAAATAAGCACTTTTTCACCTTCGATTCAAGGCTATTTTGATGAGACAACTGATAAATCATGGGATTCAGATGAAACAAAATGTAAAACATGGAGAAACTGAACATTGGAATATCCTGCAAAAAATATGGAACATCATCTTCAGACCTCCATTCTTGCAAATTCCATGCTCCTCTTTAGCTAAATGCGCAGTATTCGTGTTGTTGCACAGCCAGAGAACCAGTTCAACTCATGGACCCAGAAAATATCACCCCAGTATTGGCGGTAGATATGCCAGCACCCTATAGCACCCTGCAAGGTAGAGCTTTTCACATTGGGCAAGTTTAAGACTTATCAGGAACAAACATATCAATAGAATTCAATAGAAATACCCTAAACAAAAGACATGCTCAGTGCGCGCTTTGCACCAGATGCACAATCCAAGTTTTAGAGGCCCCCACACTGCCCACATCGCACTGTTGGCACGGACGCACGGCTGTTCAGTTTCTAGGCAGGTGCCAGGCATGCCTTTTAAAGATGTTTGAAAGAATTTCCGCCACAATTCTGGCGCAGTTGTACCACGGCCCAAGGGTTACCCGATGAACAGATAAAACATGCAGCAACACTACAAACATAGACACATATATTCTGAGTGACATGCTTCATTTCCATGCATTTCCCTTATGCCATTTTGACACATTGCTTTAAAATGGGCCATGTTTCAGATCACTTTCCACCTTTTCCCTTCTGTTCATGTGTAGGGAAAATGGTGGCCTCCATCGCGGAACGATGGATCGCTACATCATCGTCGGTCCTTGCTCAGGGTCAGGAGGATGTCCAAGATGTACAAAAAAATGTTCACAATGTCCATGTACAACCTGAGCATTGCTCTTGGTAAATTAAAACATTTCACTAACCTGAAAAGTTTGGCGATGTTGGAACAGCTACCCCTTGTGCTTCCCATCATTCCAGTGAGGTCATTGTAAATGTTCCTTGTGTTTTCCAGGGAAATAATTCAAAAACCTCTAATTGAAAGTGTTAAATCGCCTTGGGAAATGTTTGCAACCTGCACATGGGAAATATCATTTGAAGTACATTTTTTAAAAGTACATCCGGGTAAACAATGGTGACACATACAAACTGCCGGACGATCCAATGCCAGGTGAGGGTTTCTATAATAGGAACTTTGGGTGTGTGCACTCAGAAGGAGGGAACCTTAGCTTAGTTGCTTCACTTCAACAGTTTGGGCGAGCCGTGCCAGCCTCCACCTGTTTTGTTATCCACATCCTGCTCCGTCTCCATCTGTTCTTGGCAGGAATTCATGTCCCTTGACTGTTCTCATGCTCTTCCCTGGGTGGATGAAAACAGTTTCCTGTAGACTCCCAACTAAGCTTGTCTCCACACCCGCGAACCCAGGTCGTTAAATGTTGTTAAGTCATGTTAAATTCCACACCTCCAAAGACCATGTCAGTTTCAACCAATTCAATGGTTTTACTGATTGAAAAATCATGCCCACCTCCCAACCAGGTCTATGATCAACCCGAAGTCTGTGCATCTTAAGTTTTTCCCAACTCCGAAAAAAAACAGGTTTAAGACCATCATTTGGTGAAATTTTCCATTGTCTATTATTCAGTGTCCCATGCATCATTTTTTAAAGTGAACATGTTCGGCAAATGCAATTTCACTTGATACACATATCCGCATCCGAATTCTTCATCACAAAAAATCACGGAAATCAATGGAAATCACCAATATATACTATATAAACATGTATAAACTATATAATTTTCCATATGTTCCACTAGAAAATCATATCAATTATCAATTCCATACCTTTCATCCACTTTTCCTAGGGAAAACCCATCCCTGGCCCCTGGTCGCAGGAAAGGCACTGGATGGCGCCCTCCACGTAGTCGTCCACCTTCAGCACCGTGGCGATGCGCCAGGTATCGAAGACCAGGTAGGCGCAGAAGATCCCGGCACCCAGGAAGGACATCTGAGCCACGGCCGTGGTCACCATGGGGTTGCCATGGGCCATGGTTAGCACCACCTATAACAAATGTGACGGCTGGGGGGTGGTCTATATTGTTTTACCAACATTAAACCCAATGATCAACAGATATATGATCTTATGGATTATGGCACCTGGTGGCATTTGTTCTCTATCGCAATGAGTGTATAGAACACCGAAAGGCTTACAGATAGAATGTTGGGAGAAATTGGATAATGCATTTTTTCTATAAGGTGATGATACGGGAAATGCTGGGATAATCTGTTTTTGTTGGTTATACAACAGAATGATAATGGGATGGGTCATATATTATCATGGGATAATATGGAAATAATAAGATTTTGCTATTTTATAAGAGTGATGGGAGCCCATGCCATCAGGCGTGGTAATCAATATCTTTTCGATATAGTGACCATGTGGAAAATGATAGGGTATAACAATAAAGCAATATCGGGATAATACTAGGATAACCATTGGGTGATACCGGGATAAGAATATGATAATAATGGGATAGCAACGGGCTAATTAGGGGATAACTAGAACAAATCATCCAAAAGATTGAGGTTTGGGAAATTGGGTATGCCCGTAGCAATGGGATGATGCTCATTAACCCTACAACTTGGTTACTACAAAATATCTAACGTTTCCCCAGAACGATGATCTGCATGCCTATCTCGCTTTACATCACCAAAGCGCTTCGGGCAACTCATAACTCCAGGATTTCAAAAGTCAAATTCTCCTAAGCACTGTTGGTAAAGTCTTGGTTTTGCAAACACGAAAGAAATCCACAATTACATTCCTGCACATGTACGATCTTTTTGCCAAGAAATCGCCCGCAATTAGCCAGCTCCCCAAGACCAAAGCCCCAACATTTGCCGAGGAACTCCCAGGTGGAGCCAACCTGTGCGCAGGGCGGGGAAGAAGATGCTGAGCAATCCAAAGATCAGCAGGCCGAAGGTCATCCTGAGATGGGCTGGTCGGATGATAAAGGCCCAAGGGAATTGTGATGGCTAAAAAACACTAGGTAGTCAAAGCAGGTATTTGTTGGCGAATACAGACCGGGATGATGACAACAATGAAAACAAAAAAAAATAATGAAGGCGATTTCGCTACATTGAGGGTTTGCTGCGGTACATTGAGGGGTTATATAAGGACAACTGGTTCTCAATAAAACGTTGTCTGGCCCAATCCCCAAGCAAAAGCGGTATCGATTGGCGTGCTTCAAGACAATGCGCAGCAACACTGCTGCAGTACATCTGGTTCTTTTTCGCAAAGCAATGATGTTGTGCACACGCTGCGCTCCGTTGCGCTCCGTCTGGTTCAGAGCACAAAACCATCATTCTGACAAATCATGCCCAAACTTTGACTGACGAATGCTGTGGGAAGTTGTGGGTACATATATGTTCATATTATATAGTTAATCGACGGTGTTTGGTGACATCATGATCAGAAAGCTTCATCACTCAGTGACTTCACCTGCCATGGCCAATGCGGATCTCAAAGCAGTGGGGCCAGTGAAGAGACCAAAGAAATATTCTTGACAACCAATGTCCTCTAGCAAAAACGATGCTTCCACGCACTGCAGCTGCACAGCAAACACTTGGAATCAATCAGCCCAGTTTCATGGCTGTGCCGCAACAGTAGTGGCTCGTGTGAATGCAAAAGCCTGACAGGCCCTTTTTGTTCCCACATGCAACCCCAGCACGATCCTTTAACTACTTCAACATTCGACAAACCATCAAAGCTGGTTCTCCAAACGGACTGCTTGCCCTTACAAGGGTGTAGGCATCATGCATCAGCTTGGCTGCGTTGGGGACATGGTGTAAAAAAAGATGCCGCACTGGCAGTGCTTTGAGCTTGAGAAATCTTCCAGCAGCTTTGCCATGACTAGGAGTTCAGCTCAAATGTCTCATGAATAAGCCTCTCTAACTCTTTGTACCAGTTTCTAAATCCAGGCGTTGTTCTTGGGCTCTGTTACTGCCGCCTTCTCAATGTGCATGTTGGTCGTTTCCTTCCCCTTCTGCATTGGTGCACAAAGAGACTGTCACTATGTGAATGTTGTGGCTCTTCAGCCATGTCACTCCCTTCATCCAGAACCAACACTATGTCAGAGCTTGGAGGGCCCTAAATGTACGACGTAGCGACTGTGTCTTGATTGAACGCCGGAACCTGAAGCACCGCACAAGCTCTTCTCATCACGTTCATGCTCTCTTCCTCAGCTAGACTCCCCACCCTGCGACGTTTCTTGACATCCCCCGTGTCTGCGTTCAGTAATTCAAACGGACGGCAACATGGCCCACCATGCTATTATAATCCTGGGGTGGAACTGGATGGGCTAGGAACCAGTGTGAACCCACGTCTACGCCTCTGATAGTCAAGAGTCAAGATTCAGCGGGTCCCCAGAGGCAGCGTAGCCACTAGGATTTCCGGTGGTGTGAATTTACAATTTCAATGCATTGAATCATGGGTGAAGACGTCATTGCAAGTAATCGCCCACATTGAAGGAAATAAAAAATCAGCCATGTCACAACTTCAGCTTGTCCTCAAAAACATTGACCGACCAGTCTTTCAGCTCGAGCTTGCTGGCAAAGAACGTGGTTGGGTCTTTTTCACTGAGGCGCTTCCCTGTGGCCACCAAGATGTAGGGAAGAGAAGGATGCAGAAACAAACCGGCACCCTCGATAATTACAAAGGCTTGAAAATGGGAATTTGGTCAATTGAACCAAGCCTAACCCAAGGTTCCGAAATTCATTCTCGAGTGTTTTCTTCACCTTCACAGGCTTGTCCTTAGCATCTGCTGATGAGCTTGCCGGCTGCTTCATGGCTGCCAAAGATGCCGCCCTTGATCCCAAAACTTCCGTACATCAACATCCATCATCAAACTATGCCAGGTTAAGGAGTGATGTCTCAGACAAGATCCACTTGATGTCCAATTGAGGTAGGCAACTGTCAGCACAACAACGAAGGCCATGCCAGTCTCTCCACATTTTCTGTCAAGCCTGTGACCATATCCAAGCTCCAGCAAAGAGGCAGGGCCTCGTATGCCCCTTTGGATATTGTCACAAGCTTGATCCAAAAATGAAAATAAATCAGCGGGCGGCGAAGGAACCAACAACCCGACCCCTGAATCCGAAGCAACAACACCTGAATACAACGAAATCTCCTCAATGATAATTAAACATATATATATATATACAGTAAACAGTATACAGTATAGGATATCCAGCGATGGTTGTTGGTGGCCAATAAGCCCCGTGGTTGAGTTCCTATGATAGTTGCATGATTTTATGTAACTTCCGAAGAAATCGCCGGGTTTCCCATTGAGTGGATATCATGAGGATAGAATCCCCTCCCCAGAATGTGAAAATCACGGGGCAAACCCTTCGGCGATTTCAATTTATATAGAGATTTCCCCTGCCAGGATAGCTTAGCGCAAGAAGCCAAAAAATCTACGTGGTCAGTCATTTTCCTCACAGTTCAATTGTCAAAACACATAAACAACACGCGCTGACCAAATGCAAACGTCAGGGGTTTATCTTCAAGGAGCTGGGTTAAATAAAAAGGACAAGAAAAGGGGGAGAAAAAACATGACGACATCATGTATGATTGGGGTGGAACAAACCCGCCTGGATCAGATCCATCGGCAACAAATTGGAGTTGATGCTTGTTGTGAACCTGGAGATGTGTTGAAACATGTCTTTGTTTTGTTGTGCTTTTTTTGAAGGGGCGGGGTGCGTGGAGGGGGGCAAGCAAAGTAGAATAAATAAATACATGGATCTTGTTCCCAAGCAACCAAACCTCTGTCTAAACCAAACCGGAGTGACACTAAGTGCATCTGTTCTCCCTAATTAGAGATCTGAGACTTGTGGAAGGTCTAACCTCCTGAGTTCGAAAAAAAGATCATGTGTTTAACCCCAAAAATCACAAGGAAACACAATGAATTATGAAATTACCGTTCTTTCTTCAAAAAAAATCCTCTGCGTGGCAGTATTCACTTCCAACCTCTTGCCTCCAACTCTGAAAGCGGGGCAGTATTCAGCAAGGTTACCCTCTGGTAAACTAACATAACTATGGAAAATCATCATTTTCAATGGGTAAATCGGTAAATTCACTATAAATGTGCCATTTTCCATAGCTATGTTAGTTTCCCAGAGGGTAAAACATTCTGGTTGAATTAGAACGATTCACCACCCTGAAAATAGCTCTTATCATATGGCCACCCACTTGCGCTCCGCGGCCCGTCCCCCGCATGTGCAAGGACGAACCTGTCCATGTCCTTAGAAACTGAAGTCTAGTCCTGAGAAGACAAGCATCACAACAAGATCAGCAACAGAGGTAATCAAAATCCAAATAAGAACCTCGGAGTCTCACAACACAAATGGGTGATAACACAATCAAGTTCACGTTGCTTGTCTGGACAGGCGTATGTCTCTTCGCCTGGCATTATACCGGCGGTTCCGGTCCTCCTGATTATCCTCATTTGGACCCTGTACGGTTGTCTGAACACACGGTTCACTGTACGGGATATTCGGCCACTTGGTGAAATTTCGGCTACCCTGTTGCTGTTCAAAATACGCCACAAGTAAATCAACTGTCTCACTTTGACGTTTCATTACCGGTCTGAAAGCAATGCCCTGCTTGGTGGCGTTGCCACCCATTTTCCTAAGTGAGGTGACTTTCTGCGGCTTCAGAGTTGGAAGAAGGTCTGTCTGGAAAAGAAAGCCCAGATGAGCTATACAATCTCGTAGTGCGTTCGTCGCCAAGGAAAAACAATGTACAGTATGGTCCAATGTAATGTCCTCTTCCATGCATGAGTATTTCGTAGGCTGTCCATGAGGAGAAACATTTATCTTCAAGCTATGCTGTGTCGTGATCATGAAGTTACATGCTAGTTCCAGCCACGTCACCCCCACCGGAGGCTTTTGTCGGTCAGGATGAGTTGGCCATTCCAAGGTCTGCAGCCATTCCAGTACCAGTGCACTGTAGCGAGAGCCAAACCGAGAAGCATGGACATGTTCAAACTGGTCAAGTGTAAAAGTGTACTTAACTGGGTTATTCACAACATATTGCTTAAAGAAGTTCGCCTTAGGCTCAACTGTCTCTGTCTGGACGGTTTCTGTTTCCAAACGTTTGCGTAACTCTGCCAATTCTGCTCGCGTAGTCAGATGTTGGCAAAGCATATCTTTCATCTGCTTACTTTCGTGGGCAAGCCGGGCTAGATTGGTCGTAAAATGGCGTGCCAAATGTTCCTGGGTCTGCGTAGCAGCACAATCAGCAACCATGTTACCAAGCTTCATGAAAGCATTTGGGTCTTCTCGACTAATTTTTTGGTGAGCTTTCACCTTGAGAATTGGAATATCCATACGTTGATCCCAATGCAGAGCATGCAATCTGCGCAGAAGGTCAAAATTCTTTTTCTTGGCTAATTTCCAAACGTATGGAGTCTGTTCAATCAAATGATGCACGTACATGACGTATTGTGAGTCTGTTACTACAGGCACCTGCAACTGCATTTCCTGAGCAAGAGTTGCAGCCATAAGCTCTGCACGAGGAATTGTTTGGAGGCCAGTAACATGTGACACTGCGACTGTGTCGAAAGTGTTCTGCAGCAACCATGAAGCATCATTTAATCGTTCACAAGGCACTTGCGAGAGGTCATATGGAGTAGCAACTACTGCGTAGGACGCCCATCTATGGTTTGGGCTGGCTGGCATCTTACAGGATCCATCTGTAAAAAGAAACCTGGGGGTATATGGCAATGGCTGGCATAGAGGTTCAGGATACTTTTCAAAAACAAAAGAGTGAAAGTCCACCTCTGGATCTGCATAAGCTGCCGGGAGTAACGTATGAATCATGTCATGGTCTTGCAAGAAATCACACACTGCAGGATATTTCGCTCTTACCACTTGCGTGGCTTGGCAGTGCAAAACCCTATGCATCACCGTATCCGCTTGGTCACAGAATTGGCAGTGAGTGTCCTGAAATTCATCAAAATGTGCTTTTTGTTCATTCACCATGTATCCCATACAAAGGTCAAGACCTACGCTTCTCTGCTTTTCCGGTGGGACAGCTTGGAAAATTTTTACGGTTGCACGATTGTCAATACGTGGCAAGTTACGGAGGTGATGGCGATTGCTAACACAAAGGGAAACATGTTCCATCCACGCACGTTCAGTGGCCAGCATCAACTCTTCTTGGTTGCAGTGGATCAAATGAAGGTGGTTGAAATTGGGGCAATGGATACATCCCTGCTGGTCAATGGTCCAGCCAAGTTTAGCCAAGTAGGCGCTCAGCGCCATTGCAGGTCCTACTATCAAATTATACCTAACTTGATGGTGGGCTGCCATGCGGAGAAAAAGGCTTACCAAGGCAGGGTCAGCTTGTAGCAGGAAGAGTCTGGCTTCTTTAATGGCATTCTGGATAACCCAAAGCTCAGGATCTACCAAGGTTGGGGAAAGGCAGCTGCATGCTATATGGCTTTGGATATTATGGTGAGAGCCCAGCATGGCCGTGGCAATTTTGGATCTAAGGTGGGAGAAATACTCCTCGCCAACCAGATACATGTGGGTCCCATACAGGGCCTTAGTCACGGCAGATGCCATCGCTACATATGCTTTATCTTGAACAGAAATATCAGCCTTACGCAATCTGTGCAGTCTGGCCAAGGCCTGCTTATGTCTTTCCTTCTGTGTGCCTCGAAAGGGCGCGAGACGATAATGCATTATGTAGCCCAAGTCCCTGGCATGTGTGACCAACTGCAATTGTACTTCTGGAGCTAAAACAGAGTCCTTAGCAGCCTGCAAAGCCTCTTGATGCGGCTGAGAAGTGCCCCAAGCCCAAGTTTTCCCCCAATCAATTCCAATGGACAATGCTTCAGCAATCTGCGTGAGGGTGGCCATGGCGGGTAGATGTTGCGTTGGATCAGTGGTAGAGTAACTCCAATTATCTGCAAATGCATTCAAACGTTGAGCATGTGGGGCCATTAAGGTTACCATGAAGATATTTACAGCCAACATGGCTACAACACTCCAAGCATCACCTTCGGGCACTCCTGTGGTGGCAGCTGGCACTACAAACAGCTGGGAGTCAATCTGCCAGTATCGGATCATTTTTTGAATGGATGAGATCCATGCTCTTACCAGGGCAGGTGGAACTCCAAAATGGATGAGTAGTTGGCAAAGTGGTAAATGTGGCAAGGTGTTAAAGGCTTTTATGATATCAAGTGTTAAACCCCCCCAATGCAGGTGAGAATGTCCATGGTTGGTCGCTTCAAGTGCAAGCTGCATCTCATATATCAGCTTGTGGGAGCTTCGTCCCGGCAGAAATCCAGTAATTGATTCAGGGAGTGTGCGGGTCCATGCTTGCAAAATTTGTCTAGAGGTCCATTTACTGTACAACCGGTACAGTAAGGAAAGTACTGTGATAGGCCGGGTGGCCTTTGCCATGTTAGCTTTGTGGTGCTTAGCGACAGGCAGAACTCGAGCTTGCATCATCCAGTCAGGAAATCCCTCCTCTTGAATGAGGTTGAATAGATGCAAAAGGTCACGCACACAATTGACAGGCAAATCTTTGAGTTCATCTGAAGACCAACCACAACAACCTCTAGAGGTGGTGGATGACATCTGTGCAATGGCTGTCTGAAGCAACTCTACACTAGTGACATCAACTGTCAGAATCTGTTTGGGGGGAATCTGACGGCGAAGAGCTTCAAAGGCTTCCCAATGATCAAGATTATGCTGGGATCCAGAACTGTCTCGATTCCAAAACTGTCGCCAGTAAATGGAAAGTTGGTCCGCCACTTCTTTGGGTTCAGCAGTGTCTCGTGGCTGCATCACTTCCACAGTATCTGGAAAGGTGCCAACCTCATCATGAATCATGACTTCCAGTTGAAAACCATCAGTCTGGACTATTGTGCATGCATGCTGATTAATAAAAACTGGCTGGGTGAAGTCAAACTCCATGTGATGGCCTAATGAGAACGTGGCTAACCCATATGTTGGTGGTGACACCATGGTGGCAGGAACTCTATGTTCTTTGGACAGGACACCCACCAAACCTGGTGAGGACTCTCTGATTCTTCTGAAAGCATCTGATCGCCCGAATCTTTTGCTATCTAAATCTTGCTGGTACTGTTGAAGCTTTTGAAGTCGCACCTTATGGTCATAGGCGACCTGATCAAGATGGAATCGATGGAGCTGTTCAAGCAAATAAAGGAACCCAAACGATGGCACGGAATAAGGTATGGGGAGTAGCTCTGGGAATTGTCGCATCCAGTGGCAAAACCCATGGTGGTATCCTGTAGATTGGAGGATGCATGTCCATTCCTGGTGAAGCTGCTCAATAGTGGTTGAGCTAGGCGGTACAATTTCAATTTTTCGGATGCGCTGTTTCAGCGATTGAATGCGTCTCATTTGTCTAGTGATTTGTCGCAAATGCATGGTGGGCTGGTCAACATCTGGAGTATATTGGCCATCACAGGCAGTCTTTATGGACCTTGGGAGTGGGGTGCGAACTAAAGACCTGGGTTTACAACGACCTCTATGCCTTCTCGGAAGACTTGACCACGGTTGGGTCAGAGGGTCAGCTTGATGTTCCTTTCGGAGCGCCTCATGGACTGCATTTTCGACAGCGTTGGTCCATATTTGGATCGGATGCTCATCTGCTCGGGTATCTCCAAGAAGAGTGGCTCCAGTGGGATCAAAAACTGAGGCATAGCACTCCCCAATCAAAGCTGTTTTGGGCTGGAGATGAACCCACGGTGTGGGAAGATTCCATGATTGTCTGGTAATTTCTCGGGTAGGCACCCTCAATCTAAAGCACAATGGGTTGTGACCAGTGACAAGGTGTTGTTGGTCGATCCAGATATCATGTACCATAACAGCTAATATGGGGTGTATGAGACAAACATCGTTTCTGGTCGCATCCCCAAAGGTCGGGGGGAGTTCCTGTCCATACAATGACCGATAGAGCTCCTCCATAGATCGATAACCCTCACTGCGGAGAGAAGTCATCTCATCTAGTGTGTCAGGATGCTGGTTGAGATCACCAACTATCATGGCAGGAAATGTGCTTTGCCTGACTGTCTGGTGTGCAAATTGCAATAGGGTATTGGTACGGGCTTTGGCCGATGCAACTGATGCCGGTATTCCGTACAAGTTGCATATTTGGATCTCAAGAGTGGGCAATCTGAGAAAGACGTGTTGGAAACGTCCTGCATCATACCATTCGGACCCCAGGCTACTTCGGGCAGGTCGGATTGGCAACTTATTATGGAAAGAAACGCCAATAGCAGCCCCTCTAAAGCTATTTGGGTCCCCTTGCTTAAGTTGCTGGGGCACAGGTGCACCCCAGATGGTCTTGTAGCCATGGGCACGAAATTCAGATGAAGCTGCAGACTGGACTAAGCTCGTGGCACTGGTTTCTGAAAGGATCAGGCAGTCCGCTTTCAGCAGGGCCAAATCAGCAGCTTTCTGATGAACTGCTGTGGGGTTGGTGATAGCAAAAGTCACAAGGTCTGAATCAGAATCATCTGGTATGTCCGGTCCTGGATTTTTGGCCTCTCCTATTCTACAAGCATGCATTGGATGAGGACTTGGTACGTCACCCCAAATTAACAAAAACAGGCTTCGCTGTGTAAGGCATTGTTGCAATGAAAAAGGAATTAGCCTATGATAGTTCTCACGCAAACCAAAGTACTTGATTGGGAGCACAGCATAACAAAATTCCAATGAAGTGAGATCGCATTGGATTGCTGGGCAATTGTGTCTTTGGTCAAAAACGGAATCATGGGCATGACAAAAAGGATTGCGACTGGCCAAAATGGCTCTGGGTCTCGGCACAAGACGTCTTCACTCCAATGACTCGTCTGGTTCGTCCAGCTCTCCGTTATTATTGCGCTTGATTCCTCTGGTCTGCAAGAACAAGAACTTCAATTCATCCATGCTTGAAGCAAGTCTGTCATCTTGTCTCTGCAGGGCTTGGGCGATGGATTGTGTCATGCTGAGCTGTTCCTTGTGCAAATGCTCAATGCTATTCTTGGTGTCTCCCATGTGCTTGTGGAGTTGGTCAGAAACCTGCGAAATCTTTTGGTCAGTAGTTGAGGCAAACTTCAATTGGTCTTCATGAAGCTTCGCAACTGCTGTTTCAAGCGCTTGAAGTCGGCTGCCTTGTTGTTGGAACTGATCGCTAACAGGGCCCGGCAAGGATCGGCTAGGTGCTGAGACTGCAGCTTCACTACCTTCTTATCATATGGCCATTTGGGAAGTATTCCCTGCTTCATCTCCCCATCATGGAATCTATCCCTATTCCCCAAGGACCCAAGAATCCCAAGAGATGAACGAGTGTTTGGTAAAACCCGCCAACTGTTAGGAAACAAACACCTCCTATAGATATTATGAATCTTATTAGATATGATATTTATGACTATGACGATTGATATTAGGTCATACTCTTAAACTTCAACGGACATAAAAAAAAAGCAGCTGATCAGCTGCTCTTCCGAAACCAAACAGCCGAGCAAGCTTCGGGTAGAGCACAGCGCCCAAGAAAGAGAAGTCCCTCTTAGAACCTCCAGCGAACAGAGATGACTTCGATGACCCGGACCCAACAAAGGGTCACCCTGGCAATGATACAAAATGCGGATGGTAACATGTAAGAAATATAGGTTTCTTAAACGTTTTAAGGCCCAAAGAATCATAAAGAATCACCTGTTTCATCAACACGAAAACTGTGTTTCAGGTCAGTAAATGTTGGGAAACATGTTGGGAAACATGTTGGCCCCATCAATGGGGAAGTCAGTAGATTACCCGAAACTGGAAGAGTTGCCGAATCTTACTCATCAGGACTGCTGTCCATGGTGACTAAGGAGCCGTCCATTGGCCTGGAAAATCTTGTGAAATGAAGATTGGAAACAATGAGGATGCATTTGCTAGCCTTTTTGATTTTCATCAGGGTACCATGGTGTTTGACCAGGAAACAAAAGTTGAACATAGCAAAACCATATCTGTGACCACTACACTAGTCGCTAGAGGTAGCCATATCAGCCTCATGTGTATGTCTATAATATGTATCTATGCATCTATGTATTTTAACATATTTGTATGTTCTATCAAATCAAATCTCATCTAAAATCAAATCTAATCTGTCTGTCTATCTGCATATTACACATATGATGTGCCGGTGTTTGGAGGTACCAAATTGCCAAATGCCACCGGCCAAATTTTCAAAAGAAGCGAACTTTTCCAGTGCCAACTGAAACAGATCTACAGTCAAAGTTGAATCAATCGTATTTCATTGGTGTCCATGGGTTGCCTCCACCACATCTGAAGTTGATATGGTTCTTAATTCTGACTGCATGTAAGAAAACCCACCTGCCATCAACAAGTCATGCCAGAATTTTCCATCGTGAATCATTGGATTGGTTTAAGGGGAAAAAATACAGGAAAGCCCTATGTTTCATGGGAAAATCGATGGTTTCCAGTTTCCTGTAATTTTCCCAAGAAAACCAATCCATTGAACCACAACGGGCCACTCCTCTGACCCACCAAGCTACGGAAGGTGTAGATGGTCAAACCCAGCACCAGTGAACCTGCGCTGGGATTTGCAATGGGAATATCGTGGGACTTAACTAATGTGGAAACTATGGGGAACTATGTGATTTGCAATATCCCATGATATTCCTATAGTGTCCATATATCATATATCCACATATAATTATGACTGAATTTGGAGACTATCGGAATATAGTGGGATATACATTAATGGGATATGATACGCACGCTGGGATACATACATGATGGGATGTATAATGATGCCATGGGATTTTGAGGATCTTAACCAATGACAACTGAGCTTTAAGCAACAACAAATGTTTATTCACTTGGATTTAGTTGGATTATGGTAACCGACAGAATTATGGAAAAAAAAACGTTCAACTTAGACAGGCGGCGCCTGCGTCCGATTTTTCCATAATTAGGTTTTTCCCCATAAGGGTTCAAAATATCCCGGAAGTGATCCGAACCTTTTTTTTCCATAATTCTTGGAGGTGGCCATTATTTCCATAATTGATTTTTCCTGTAAAATCAGGGGGCTAGAGCAGATTGACCGGTTTTTCCATAATTATTTTTTTCCATAATTATTTTTTCCATAATTATGTTTTCCATAATTAATGTTTGGGGCTCCACCTGTTGGACATGTCATGGATCCACAATTCAAACCCCTTTTTTTTGGGGGTTATGGAAATATGTATGCAAGTGCAAGTATGTAGTATATCAATGGAAGACTTAGGGGCATATACCAGATCTTTAGACACATATTTTCTATAATTCAATATTCCCCCTTAAAATGCATTCAAATTGCGAATCGATGGACATACAGTCACCGACAGAATTATGGAAAAAAAAATAATTATGGAAACAATAATTATGGAAAAAAAAGGTTCGTAACTTTTCTATCATAGACAGGCGGCGCCTGTAAATTGAAACGTTTTTTTTTCCATAATTCTGTCGGGTGCTGTAAATTATGCCCAACCATAAAAAATGTGACTTCATGGGTTGTATAAACAGAATATGTATAATGGCAAGTTGCTGGGAATACCATGGGATGGTAATTCTAATGGAATCATGGGAATACCATGGGAAAATGGTGATGCAACCAGCCAGACAAACTGCCGCCTAGCAAGGTAAGCGGATGGGGTCCAAAGCACTAGTGGCTGCTTCAGGTGAGAAAATCCGTGTACTACTCAGGTCCAAATCATCGCAGCTGCAAGGGCTGAGCATGTGTCGATTTAACCGGTCTTCAGAAGGTTCTGTTCGTTGACCGCGAGATACAGACCGGCATTGGATAGTATTGGGCCATCAGATGGCATCAAATGTCCTCAACTCGGGGTCCCAAAATGGGACAAGTCACTATAGTCCATGGATGGTCCTTCAAATGAGCCAACTGAGTAACTGGGGCCTTGGCATTGCTACCATGTGGTTGGGAAACTCTAAGTAGATCCTTCGCTTCCCTATGGACTCCCCTGGTTCCTATGCTCCCTTCTAGGGTCAATGTGCGGAGAGCATTTCTTTCATGGATCATCTATATCCCGTATGCTCCATGGTGCTGTAATATTTACCACATTTGCCCTAAAAATCACCCAGTTTTGTAGGTAAATATACCATACATGGAGCATATGGGTATCAACCTGGTTCAACCTCCAAGTGCCTCCATGCATGTGGCCAGTAGAGCCAGCACGGTTTCAATTTCCGATTCTCCGTGAAAAACTGGAACGGCAGCACTGTATAGCACAGTAAAGAACCCCATGGCTAATCTAAACGTTTAGGGCCTTATTTTCACAATATACCTGCCATATTTTGCATTTCATATACCACATGTTTATTTAACATAGATATGGAAAATTACCCATTTGGTTCGATGATTGACCCATAAAAAGTGGTGTTTTTCAATAGCAAATTGTTAAACTACCAAAAGGTATATATCCCATTCATATCACATTAAATCTCCACTCTTAATGGTAAAACATTGTAAAACAAAATGGCCCATCACATTCTCATTCCATTAATTACGATCAAGTCACCAGAGATACAACCCATGAAGTCACCAGCTTTCATGCTTAAGGCATTGGTTAAAGCATAATTAAATCCCAGAAAATCACAATGTCCCAGGTGTCCATCATATTCTCATGATACTCCATGCTAACAACCCATGAAGTCTCCATGAATCTCCATGTTTTCAATGGTTAAAACATGTGAACATGTTACCCTCTGGTAATGTGTTACATAGGATACATAGCGACATAGAAAATGGCCCATAGAAATAGTTGATTTACCTATTTTCTAGATGGTTAGTTTACCAGAGGCTAAAACATGTTAATATCACAATCTCCATCCATGTCCCATGACATTCCCATGACATTCCCATGATGAGCGCCGTGCCTGTGATGAGCGCCGCCTGCACCACCAACGCGCCCAGCCCGGCGGCGGCCACCATACCACAAATGACGCCCACGTTCAGCGCCATGACCTCAACAAGATGTGGAATTGGATCCAGTATTTTTTGATCATCTGGGGTTAGAATAAGGTTAGCAATCTTTTGAAAAACCACCCATTTTTTGCGCTTAGTACAAGTTGTATCTATATATATATGTGTGTGTATTTGTTGGGTGTTTTTTTTATATTGTGTTGGTTTTGTGGTTGGTTTTCAGGTTATTGGTTCGTTTCTGCATTTTGTTTTTTCATGGTGGATCATGGTGGTATTAGCCATATGCTTTTTATAGCCAAATTTGGGCAAAGCCAATCAGAAACTTAACTGCTTGGTCGATTCAACTCTGACATAGTGGGGATCATCAACCGGTGCAGTTTAGAAATTGCTGGGTCTAGCGGCTAATTGCTTCTCGACCGCACCGCTGCGGTAACAGCTGCCCAAAAACACATGGAGTCACTGGGGATCGAACGGTCAGATTCTGCCAGTGTCTGTCTTGGCAAAGCTGTACCAGAAATGGGAAGACTCTGAACCCAAGGCCAGGGCTGAATGCCATGTGCAGACATGGTAGCCCCCAAATGCTTACAAATTGCGTTACAATCTTAGATAATCAAGTCCAAGTCAAACCTCGGGTTTGGCTGGTTACAGCCGAGTAGTGGCACGTAATGCCTTATTATCTTTGGTCAACTCCCCATGAAATGGTCTAGTATATGATCGTGTTGTTTGTTGAAATCCGTTTCTTTTCACCAAGTGCAGTTCGATCAATATATCTAGCAAACATAACATGTTACAACCACACCATAGCAAATCTATATTGTTGGTGAGTTGTATTTCCATAATATTCCCATCATAAATACACACCCACTTAACTTATTTTCCATTGTTAAAAGGTGAGGCCCCCTTAATAGGTAGGTGACTTAAAACTTGGTTAACTAGAGTTTGTGGGGATATAAATATAGCTCATGGGGGTTATAGGCACTTGTTTAACCAACCAACATCACTTCGGGGCCTCACATTGTAATGGATTTTTCATCCCATTGCGCCGAGCTGCAGCTGTGAGAAAGCACAAGCCGAAGAAGTTCAGTGGATAGCCTCAGCGGTGGATGGAATCCACTCTGGCATCCTCTGAGCGCGGCGATGTAACCACAACAACCTACTGTTGAGTTGGATTTGTTCCATGTTGAGTTTGATGTTCTATGATCTTGTGCCGTGTACTCGTGCAGCACTATCTGTGGATATATGTATAAGTGATGCATACATATATATATATATATATACTGTAGACTATGTAATATATAACTATTATATAATGCTATACCCAAAAAAAAAAACTTTGTTGGTGTTCTGATGTACCGAAGGCGTCCCAGCTGCCACTGCGGTAACCACCCCAACCACGGTCCAAAAGAGTGCTTTAAGCGGATCCTACAGAAATCAAAAAATGGAGGTTTAACAGTTTATACCCTCTGGTTATTTAACATAGCCATGGAAAATGGCCCATTTATAGATGGTTTACCTATTAAAAATGGTGATTTTCCATGGCTATGTTAAATAACCAGATGGTAACTGGGAAAATCATTGGTTATATACTGTTTCTGGAGAAATCTGGATGAACCTTAATCCTCCCAAACTCATTTGGAGGTTCAAATTAAATCACAATTTCATTCCCAGGCCACAGATTTCAATACTTTACATGAAGCTATACCAGGGCATCAAATTGAGCAACCTCAATTTTCATCACTTTGGGTTATTGCCAACCCCGGATGATCCGCCAACTTGGGATAAGTTTCCTTATGGGTGATTTAATAATCCCCTTTTTTAATCATAAGTCAAATGACATAAGTCCCGAAATTCACCAACAAATGACATAACTATAGATGATAAATATGAACAATTAATCCCATTAAATCCCAACATAACTATAGAATACTACATATTATACTACAGTAATACAACTAATAAATATTTTCTATATACATATTGTAAAAATAATCTAATAATCCCACTAAATTAACGTCCAAAAAAAACAGACTATAACTTCTTACTGGTGCTTAGCAGGGAATTTTCGGGAATGATCCAATCCACCACTAGTAATGTCATCATCCCAGCAACCCCCAGCAACCCCCAGCAACCCATCCAGCAACCCTATGTTTAGCAAACGCACCAGTAAGACTTTCATCGTCCGAGGAGCTCTTCTTTCCTGCATGGCACAGTCCAATGGCCACTAACAAGGCGATCAGGGACCCCCAGCGATAGGCACTGGGATGGTTCCTCGGCTACCCAAGGGACCCATGGGACCCCACGGGACACCTGGGAAACCTCCAGAAAAACAAAGGAAAAGATGGGATAACTTCAGAGTTATTACATAAAATTACTAAGTTTTGTCTTGGTTGGCAAATTTGCCATGAACATATGAAAATCAATCAGTAAGTCTTCAAAACGAACGAAAATGACCAACGGGTTGCCAGGGTTTGCGCAGTTATAGCGAGATAGAACTATATACTTTTCAGAACTGAACGTTCGACTACTCAAGGCAATCTAGCTTTACGCAATCACCTCCTCGTGCAAATCGCCCTGAAATCCCCAATTATCTGCAATATTTTATACTAGACTAGAAAGTAACGTTTCTTGCCAGCTTTCGGGAAAACTCTCCCGTTTCAATCTTTATCACATCCAGTTTTCACCATATTTTCACCATCCTAACCCAATTCTGAATCTTCCCATTTTCATCCATTTTCCCTTTCATTTTCTACATATTTTTTCCAGTTCGCCAGGGCGCATGGCCAGGGCCATCACGGCCGGCTGCAGGGGGCCGCAGCACAGGGCGGCCACCGCGGCGGTGGCCAGTACCTGGGTGCAGACGATGCCATAGACCTGGCGACGCCGTGGCGTCCATGGGAATTCCATGGTGAAAAATGGGAAAACATGGGAAAAACATGGGAAAATCATGGAAAAAACATGGGAAAATGGCGAAACCAACATTTGTTTCTCTGATTTCAGTGATTTAAGCATTCAGAATGGCGATTGAAGCTTCAAAAAATGGTGCTTCAATGGGAATTGAAATGAAACACGGTGATTTATTATAATGGGGCCAAACGATGTTCATTCTGTGATATTGCAATCGAGCCTATGATTTGAATTTAACCATTCAGAATGGTGATTTAGTGGGAATAGAAAGAACATATCATGGGATATTGGGATAAAAATGTGGTAGAACACACATGTCTTTGCCAAGAATCATAGGCGGTTCCTTGGAACTAACTTAGAGTCTTTTGTAATCTTTTGTCAAGAACTCATTTTGGCAACATGCGTTGGTTTAAGGGAAACTGCGCACACTCAAGTGGGCCAACTCCAATTCAATAGTTCAAAAGCAAATGGGAATACCCATCATCTATTTGGGATGCAAATGATGGGAATCATGAGGAATCATGATGATCATAATGGGATTCATGGGTAGTCATGGCTCACTCAATCGAGTCAATGTGTTGATAAAAAGAGAACATGTGCAGGACACAATCTTTTCCCCAAGAATTGTTTTTGTTCCCTTCCATATGACTTTAAATTTTATATGGTTTCGTGGTTTTGCGCCAAAATTCGGATTATGAAATTGTCTCGGTTTGCCGGATTTGCTGGTTCCTACTTCGAAAATAGGCTGGTTTCACAGTTTCACGTTGGAGTTGAAAGTTGGTTTTACAAAGAAACTGTGAATTCTATGGGAATCATTGCATTGAATCTATGGATATCTATGGCATTTGGTGGTTTTACCGGCACGGTCGTCAAGACATGGGTAGAAGTTCCGGTCTTTTCCGGAAAATTTTCCCCTGGGGATGATCCTCCAGGTTCATATGGATTCCTAAATGGGGTTACCCCGTTGGATGGTTTATTTCATTGGAAAAATCCCAATCTAAAAATGGATGATGACTGGGGCTACCCCTATGACTTAGGAAACCTCCATATAATGATGATAGAAAGGGGAGCATATTGTATTTAGATGAATCACTGTACATAGTGGCACCAGCAGCGTTCAGAAGAAGAACGTGTGCAATAATAATTAGGGGAATCATGATGGTATTGATCATAAATTACAACCCATGACGTTAAGAACTTTTCTTGCTGAACTTGATGACTTGATGAGTACATGTGGTCAGAAGGTTTTTGCTTTCCTTCCCGCAGCTTTACCACAATCAACCTGGTGATTTATTCTACCAAGCTGAACCACGGTTTTGAATGGTTTTGTGATGTCCTCTGAGAAGCACTCAGCACTCACAGTAGGGTACACAACCATCTGAAGACAGCCTTTTCACATATATATATATATATTATATGTATATATGCATCTTTCTTCGAACCCGTTATGATGTCATGAACTATGCACATCAACATCATGATAGATGTGCTCCCCTCGACCCCAACAACCAGCGGCCGCGGCCTTTTGGATGAATCCCGCGCGCACGCGTTTCTCCCCGATGCCCTGGAGCTCGGCGAAGCGTTGACCCTCGAGGTCCATCATGGCGAGGCAAGCGAGGCAAGGGACGAGGCGACGAGGCGTGTGGCGAGGCGTGGCAAAAAGTCGCTATGAGCCTGGCATCAAAGTGCTGGTTTTGGAGATCTTACACTTGAAACCATGGCTTTTATGGTTGAAACCATGTTGAAACCGTGGTTTCAGGTTTGCTGCATTTCTGTTAGGGAAGTTGCAGGAGATGCATATGCCCGGAGTTGGTCGCCGCAGTCCGCAGTCGCCTTTTTTTCTCATCGAATGGGCATCGTTCAGCAAATGGTGCATTGAAAACCTACCAAATGCCCGCCACCCACTCTCCTGCTTTCACAGTTCATAGTCCTCCGGTTGCTTGTGAAAAATATCATTGTTCTTCTTTGTCTTTCCCGTCGTTCTTGTTAGTTCCAGTGGCATTTTGATGTTGCTACACAGGCGGTCCACAAGCATAAGACTCGCAGTGATGGTCAACTTTAGCCTATGTATTCCTCGGATTCCTCGTGTCTGCTGCAAATGTAACCCAATCTATTGACCTAGTTGTCCATAATTATGCTGAGTCGTACTCCCCAAATCCCTAAAATTTGATGCCTTGGTGGTTTAGGAATGAACAACGAACTATGGGCCCATTGATGTCCGTTTTTCACTGGCCCATGTTGGAGTCATATTCATACATATTTGGTGGTTTCCTGAAATAGTGGTACCCCCAGTCATCATCCATTTTAATGGTATTTTCCATGAAATAAACCATCCAGCTATGGGAGTACCCGCATTTATGGAACCCCCCCATATCTTGTGTGCCATCTTTGGAGGGTGGGTAGTTGATTCGTTTCCCTCCAGTGACTGCTAGCGATTTGCTAGCTGCATCCGACAGCCACAGGAGTCACTGCTTTAAACGATGATGGCACAACTAGGCGGCTCAAAATTCAGGAGCAACCAATCATGGCTACTCTTCAAGTTAGTTTTTATTTTTTTCACGCACAAAATAGATCAATCTTCAAGTTAGTCTTTACTTCTCACATCTTTTCACAAAAAAAATAGATCAACATGCATGTTTACCCAGAAGTTCGCAACACAAACTCCGCAATTATATCTGACATTTGAAACGTGCCTAATTGCAGAGCATGGGCATGAGATCTGAAAATTATAGGGTTTTCAGTCTCTGGATCAATATTATCTCCACCGGTTCTAGCAACCCTTCAAAACAAATGAGATCGTAAACTTCAACTTAATGTAGTTAGCAAATTGAATCTCCATCGGTTGTAGCAAATTATTATCTCCATCAACCAATGGTTATAGCAAATTGAATCTGCTCTATCTTTACTGGTGGGTCATGTTATCATCACCAATCGTCAAGCTCGGCTCACTTGGACGGTGACCCTGCCCCTAAAACTGGAATGGGAATTCCAGAGGGCCACGTTGGGGGCCAGAAATCACGCCAAAGCATTTTCAAGAACATGTATGCAGCAACTCTGTTTCAATTAATTTCAACTGTGTATTTTTGGAAGGGGTCTTTTTCATGTCTTCCCAACACCACAAGACGGCCTAAACAGAAGGCCCAGCATCCAGCTGGGGTGTCATTCATGAGAATTCACCCAACACCTCTCCGCCACCGGTGACCCCCCAATACTTCGTTTTTGTTGGTTAATAAGCCCTTATATACTAGTGATATCTAGTGATTTTTACCCTGTTGTTATTTAACATAGCCATGGAAAATGGCCCATAGACATAGATGGTTTACCTACCTATAAAATGGGTGGATTTTCCATGGCAATTTTCCATGGCAAACTGTTAGTCATAACCAGAGGATAGTAATATTAGTCATAACCAGAGGATAGTAATATCTAGTGATTATTAGTGCTTGTTCATGTATACAATGATTACTTGATGTTCAGTGTTGAGTCGACCCCGATGATGAAGCACTGCTTGACTCAACGGCATTTGGAGCCACCAATCCAGCGCTAAGCCCATGATGTGCTCTACGATGTCACTGATGGAAGGCTCTAATGAACCAGCTGGATACACAAATTGTGTCAAAATTCATTGCACAAATTGACATACAATTAACACATATCACACAGACATGTAAAAAACTATGTATGTGTAAAAATTATCGAAGGAAGTTTAGAAGTCAAACTTCCGACAATATGGACAGATGAAAAGCAGAGCAGGGAAGAGGCAGAGAGAAGAGAAAGATTAGAAGAAGAAGAGTAGAAGAGAAAGAGTAAGAAGAAAGAAGATGCAGATGCGTGAAAAGGTAGGAAAGTCGCGAAACACGGTGTTTTTCCAATGATTTGTGGCTCCGGAGGGTCGAAAAGTAGGCTCGCTAAAGCGGCGGGTGCGGAGCCAGCTGGCCAGATGAGAGATGAAAAATTGCACGCCGTTGTCGCGTGAAGCACATTTCCAAGTGAAAAGGTACAAAACAAACCATTCTCGGACCAATTTTGGAAGTTGAGATGTCGAAAAAGTGCACGCCGTTGTGGCGCGAAGCACATTTTGAAGTCAAAATGTACAAAGCACACCATGGTCGGACCACTTTTGGAAGTTGAGATGTCGAAAAAGTGCACGCCGTTGTGGCGCGAAGCACATTTCCAAGTCAAAATGTACAAAACACCTCAGCGCCGGACCACTTTTGGAAGTTGGGATGTCAAGAAAGTGCACGCCGTTGTGGCGCGAAGCACATTTCCAAGTCAAAATGTACAAAACACCTCAGCTCCGGACCACTTTTGGAAGTTGAGATGTCGAAAAAGTGCACGCCGTTTTGGCGCGAAGCACATTTCCAAGTCAAAAGTGTTAAAAACTGACGGTCTCGGACCACTTTTGGAGGTTCAGATGTCGAAAAAGTGTCGAAAAAGTGCACGCCGTTGTGGCGCGAAGCACATTTCGAAGTAAAAATGTTCAAAACACTTGCGGTTCGGACCATTTTTGGAGGTTCAGATGTCGCTTCGCTTCAATACACTACACTACAGGACATTACACTACACTACACTCCAGTACACTACATTACACTACACTACGCTCCGGTACACTTCACTACACTAAATTACACTACACCACACTACATTACACTGAATGACACTGCAACACAGATAGACAGGTAGACAGCTAGACAGATGAAAGGGAGAGATAGATAGATAGGTAGGTAGATAGATAGATAGAT